CATTTCATATAATCCTGGTTTGGTGGTGATGAACTCCTTTAGCTTTTCCTTATCTGTGAAGCTCTTTATCTGACCTTCAATTCTGAATGATAGCTTTGCTGGATAAAGTAATCTTGGTTGTAGGTTCTTGGCATTCATCACTTTGAATATTTCTTGCCACTCCCTTCTGGCCTGCAAAGTTTCTGTTGAGAAATCAGCTGACAGTCGTATGGGTACTCCCTTGTAGGTAACTGAGTTTCTTTCTCTTGCTGTTTTTAAGATTCTTTATCTTTTGCTCTTGGCATTTTAATTATGATGTGTCTTGGTGTGGTCCTCTTTGGATTCCTTTTGTTTGGGGTTCTTCGCGCTTCTTGGACCTGAAAGTCCATTTCTTTCACCAGGTGGGGGAAGTTTTCTGTCATTATTTCTTCAAATAGGTTTTCAATATCTTGCTCTCTCTCATCTTCTGGCACCCCTATAATTCTGATGTTGGTACGCTTGAAGCTGTCCCAGAGGCTCCTTACACTATCCTCGCATTTTTGGATTCTTTTTTCATTTTGCTTTTCCGGTTGGGTGTTTTTTGCTTCCTCGCATTTCAAATCATTGACTTGATTCTTGCGCTCCTCTGGTCTGCTGTCAGGAGTCTGTATAATATTCGTTATTTCAGTCCGTGTATGCTTAATTTCTAGTTGGTTCCCCAATATAAGATCGAGGGTCTCATTAGTTTTCTTGTAGATCTCATTAAGTTTATCGGTGGCTTCTAAACAGTTCTTGAGAGACCTTAAAAGTGTGGTTCTGAACTCTATATCTTCCATTGACAATTTTGTCCTGTTTCTTTGTCTCCGCATTTTGTTATGCTTCCTTGTTGCACCCCCTAGTGGTCTTTGTGCACAGTCTTATAGTTAAACCTTGATTGTTGTAGCTAATACCAGGGAGGGTTTGACCTCCAGGCCAAGTGGCTATGAGAATCAGCTGTGTCTGCAGTGAGAGAACTTCTGTCCTCTAGGGAGGTGCTAATCTAGCCTTTGCCTGAGGCTATCCGGCAAATGCCTGTGTGCAGGGCTTGGGCGGGGCGGGTCGCACAGAAAATATTCTGGAAATATGGCTTCTGGAATGTGTAAATGATGTTCAAACCTGGCCATTCAGGAGTGCAGAGAAAGAAAGAAGAACTCTTCTTCCACTGGGGACCTTCCATAGTGATTGCTGCATAATTTCTTATTTATGTTCAACAGAGGAAATTGATTGAAGTTATCTTTATGCATTTAATGAGGAGATTCAGGAGAAGAGAATCATTCCAAATGAGATGAAAACCCTGATTCCTATAGGAGTCAGGTGTAGCCAAAGAATAAGAAGTTTGCAGTAGATATATTAGCCTACCCTGTGTGAATGACAACTGCTGGTTTACACTAAAAATTGTAGCCTGGCCGCCATGGCTCAGTGCTTGAGTGTTGACCTATGAACCAGGAAGTCACAGTTCAAGTCCCAGTCAGGGCATATGCCCAGGTTGTGGGTTTGATCCCCAGTGTGATGCATGCAGGAGCCAGCCAATCAATGATTCTCTCTCATCATTGATGTTTCTATCTCTCCCTTTCCCTTCCTCTCTGAAATTAATAAAAAATATATTTTAGAAAAGAAACTAAAAATTATTTGTATGTCTAGAGGTACTTATTCTCATTTCGTTGACTTTTGTGATGATATGGGGTCTAGTCTGGCAATTCTTCTGATTTGTTTTTTCCTCAAAATCTGACTGTTTGTGTGAAATCTTCTAATTTGTAAGTGTTTACTTAAAAATAATGTCAGTTAAAATATGTCGGTTTGGTCCTGCTGTAGGCAGTTAGACAGACATGAGCAGAGCAAGGACAATGGGGCAGGTCACTAGTGTGGAAAGCCCCAAGTAACTAGCAATGTACAATCAATTGTGGGGCAGAGCCTCGATCCCAAGGTGGCTTTTCCTCCCCTAGCATATCGCTGGTCATGTGGTTTGGACCCCCTGACTTTTATTCCCTTGAGATAACATCTATGCCTTAGTTGTATTTCACCTCCAGGCCCAGATAAGCAACAAAACCAACCATGACTTACATCAGTGAAAGGGATTTCAGAAACAAAACAGGCAAGTTCAATTTCTGGGAGTCTTAGAGATAAGGAGGGTCCATGAAAGAGAAATGCATAGATTGGGGCTTGAAGACACCAAAATGCTTATCTTACTTGTACAGAAGATAAAGAAATGCCACAGGAAGGGATTGGGGGGCGTTCCAGGCAGATAGAAACATTTCTGGCCTGAGCAATTAAAACATCCATAAACCAAAGACAGAGATATCTCTGGCCTGAGCAGCTGAGAGACCAAAGGCAACTCCAACCAACAAGATAAGAGGGAGGGAAAATGGGGGAACCATGTAGGATTTAGACTTTGAAACTAACACTATGTAGCAGAATGACCAATGAGGAAGTCATGAGGGTCCTAAATTAATAAAGGATCCAATTAGAAAGGGTCAGGCTCAGACAAAGATCTGCAGCCTTTATAAACCAGGAGACAGAGACTCAGCAGATTTTTAGATATTTTTGGATTTAGATTTTTCCCATTGAGAGAGAGAGCAGGCTTTTCCCATTTGGGGGCTCCTCCCCAGGGAGTACCCTTTGGGGACATCCAGCCCAGATGGAGTTTGCATATGCTTCTAATAAACTTCTACATTTTTATTAAAGAAATCTGTTAGTCCACAAATTTATTATTCAACTTCATTGTATAAGAACCCACGAGAAGAATCTGCACCCCTGAACCTCACATTTCATCAGGACCAGCTGCATTGAATAATGACTCCCTGCCCTGGTGCTGGCCAATCATTGGAGACCACAACCCTGAAAGGACACACGTGGAAAACTGCTGAATATTCTATTGAGATCTCCCCCTGGGGCCTCCCCTAAAATTTCCATTCTTAGTATGGAGGGCCCAGTGCACTCTCCCTCCCAGGAGTGCACAGTGCCTTTCCCTTCCCCTACTCCTTCCTTCCCAGGCACTTTACCATTAGCTTCCTCATTTTCAAGCTCCACGGCTCCTTCCCCTACTTCCATAACGTATTTCCTAAGCCCATTTCTTCTAGGAATTACTTTGTCTATCTCTGTAATTTACCAAGTAAATATTCTCTTACAGTTTTGGGTCTCTGCTCTGAATTATTTCCTATCCAGAACCCAATTACCCAGGTTTGGTCTGACCCCCCTAGTCAGACACCTGGTGCAGTTCCTGCTGCCTCCAACTGTCCCCTTTTAGCCAGATGATGCATCCACTGGGCCTGATAGACATTTAATAATAAATGTTTCTATAACATTTGTATAATGCAGAAAGTAAACAACAAACTACAAATTCAAGGCCCAAATGTTCATTAAAAAGCAATGAGCCTCTTTTTTTTTGGGGGGGGGGTTGTTTTGTTCTAGAGCAGTGGTCAGCAAACTCATTAGTCAACAGAGCCAAATATCAACAGTACAACGACTGAAATTTCTTTTGAGAGCCAAATTTTTTAAACTTAAACTATATAGGTAGGTACATTGTTATTAGCTTAATTAGGGTACTCCTAAGGCTTAGGAAGAGCCACACTCAAGGGGCCAAAGAGCTGCATGTGGCTTGAGAGCCGCAGTTTGCCGACCATGATTCTAGAGTATTCACAAAACAAGAATTAGGACATTTAAAATATAAATATTGTCATGTTCACCATTATTAACATAGTGGTGAAATGCCAATTGTCAGAATTTCCAATGCAAAAATTGTAAAGGATATTACATGATTATTATTAACCTAACACAGTTATACCACCCTGCAGCTGTATAATAGGCATAATGCAATTAGAAATTTAAGATAATTAAATCCAATGTTTTAATGGTTAACCAAAACACTTCCCATGTTTGACATTATTGTAACATGAATCAAAAATGATTGATATAAGTGCCGTCCTATAATATTTATGTTTGTGGTTTTGCGGGGGGGGAGGGGGTGTGTGAGTGTCAACTTTTAAATCTCAGGGAAAAATAAATGTAAACTTTGTGTGGATCACATGGTAGGTAATAAAAAATACTTCGTAAAATTTCTGTTCACTAAGCCTCTGGAAAAAAAAAATTAAGAGTCACCTGTCATACTTACCTTTACAGCTTCTTCCATCTTCTTTTACTTCAAATCCATCTTCACAGTAACATCTTGTACTATTTCTGACCACTGCACATTTATACTGACAATTCAACTGCTGGCAATTGGGCAACAGTTCTGTAGAGAAAAACAGAAAGATCACCTCTATATGCATGTGCACATATATTTTTTAAATTTAAATATTGTTAATATTTGCTCAGTGCATCCTTCAAAGTTTCTGTGATTGGTTGAGAGAACAAACAGCATGTATTCTAAAATATGTTGCTTCGCATTTGTTTGAAGTATCATTAATATTTCAGGTCTATCTGTTCAGTCTTTCACTTTTTAGCTTATTATATATGTTCAAAGTCACAAAATCTTATTAAATTCTTGTAAATTAAATTATTTCAAATGGAAAAATGTCAACTAAGTGGTTGATTTCACCATTGGTTCCATGCCTTTCCTATCTGATGTATCAATTGATTTTCTATCTTTTGAGCACTTGTTTTGATTTACTAATCCATGTGTAACCTTCAAAGCAATCAATGAATATATTCAATTTCAATAATTTTTCTTTCACGAGTTGCAAAATATTAGACAACTACTGGACATAATATATTTTGTTATATCTGAATTATTTCAGAGTGAATATTTCATTAAAACAAAAATTAGCAAGCTATCAGAGCAAACTAAGATTCAATATGATAAATGCATGAAACAGCTGAAGTGACAGGAGAATATTCACTGCGTAAATAATTTCTAACAGGAATAAGAATTGTTAAACTAGAAAAATATATGCATAGAACATGTAACTGATTTTTCTATTTGAAAATAGGGGTATTGCTAGACTGGCATGGCTCAGTGGCTGAGTGTGGACCTATGAACCAGGAGGTTACAGTTCAATTCCCAGTCAGGGCACATTCCTGGGTTTCAGGCTCGATCCCCAATAGGGGATGTACAAGAGGTAGGCAATCAATGATTCTCTCTTATCAATGATGTTTCTATTTCTCTCACCCTCTTGCTTCCACTCTCAAACCAACAGAAATATATATTTAAAAAAAGAAAATAGGATTATTAATGGATTGCGACAGCCCTCCTGTCCCACCCCAGGAAGAAAAATAAGGGTATTGAAGGGTATTGAAGATTAAACTTAAATGATTTAAAATATGTTGATATTTGCTGCAAGTTTATCTGCTGCTTCAGAAATATATGTGTGTGTGTATATATATATATATATATATATATATATATATATATATATAGTAAATGTATAAAAAGTCAAATGTGGAAAAGAACAGCAAGAATATTTCAAGCTGAAAATTTGACATTTTACTAGAAATTTAATTATCTATAGTATTTTTTTAGCCAATTACTTTTCAACTCTCTAATTATTTTATCCATGTTCTCTCTGTAAAACTTCAAATTTCCTTCCTATGGTCACACATATTGTGAAGGCAGCCTGAGCCCTGCCCCGCCCCCCCCCACACACACACACCTGCATTCTGATGCATAACCTTGCTAGCCCCAACCCCCTTTCCGCTTGTGTCCTCGATAGCCTTCCAGAACCTGTTTATCTGCAGCGGGGGACATAAAAAGCCCCCACAGAAGATTAACTGGTGGCATCAGCTAGCCTGGGTGGTTCGTCGTAATCTCACTTCCCCCATGCCAACCCATGGGGGCTGCAAAGCCTGTGAAAAGTCCGGAAGTCTGGTCCATATTTGGGAGACAAAGAAACTAAGGGGATAAAAGGAAAGACAACCCCCCAGCCCAACCCCTCATTCAGTACTCAGGCTTTGGAGACTGACTCCCCTGAGTCACCACACTAGTGCATCTGCAAATAAAGGGTTTTCCTGAATCTTCCGAGGGCCCATTATGTGTTTTCTGGTCGTTTGGTAATTTCTGCCATGGATGATAATTTTGCTTCCTACTTTTCTAAGAAAATTGAAGCATTCAAAAGAGATTTTCCACAGATCTGTTTTTCATATTTATCCACCTCTGCATATTCTTGTCTTTCTTGCTTTTCAAACTCATAATCAAAGCCCAAACCCCAATTCCTTTACACAAATTCCATGCCCTCTCACCAAGTCAAGGATATAACTTCAGCTATTCTCTACTTCCTCTCATAATTGCTTTTTATTTTTCAAATAACTATGTACTAGAACAAACTAAAGTCCTCAATCTTTGTCAATTAACTTTTACCAGAACACAATGAAGCCCCTTTGTTTAAATATTACCTCAGGCTGCTTTTACTCTACAAAGGCAGAGCTGGCTAGTTGCCTCAAAGACCTATGACCCACAAAGCCTAACATATTTACTACAGCTCTTTACAGGAAGTTTTTTGACCCCTGCGCTAGTTCAGTCTCAGCATCAAACATGCTCTTATTTTCCCCCAACTTAAAAACAAAGAACTTTGACCTCCCTTCCCCTATTCGTCACCATTGCTCAATTCCTTTTTGCAACAAAATTTTAAAAATTACCCATACCCACAGTCTCTCTCTACCCTTCTGTTTCTATCTTAAACCCACTCCATCAAGCCTTTGCTCCAAAGAAATGCTCTTGTGAATATCTCCAATGACCTTGATGCTAACTAAATACAATGACCTTTTCTCAGTCCTCATCTTCCTTGACCTCTCAGTAGCAGTAGACACAGGTAACTACTGTTTTTTGATACAGATTCATGACTTTACTTCCACAGGCTCCACACCCTTGGTTTTCCTCCTATTTCACAGTCTCCTTTGTGAGATTCCTCCTCTTATTGTCAACCTGCCACTGTTGGGGTGCCCTAGGGCTGAGGCTGTGGTCTTTTTCTATCAATATGCTATTGGTGAGCTCAACAAATATCATAGCTTCCTCTCTGACTGGGACATAACTGTAATATCATAACTTGACAGCTAGCTGTGCCCTCTTCAATTTCTAATGTTCACTGCTGTGATTATATTAAAGTACTTTCTCCTTGAAAACTTGGAACAATTGTTTTTTCCAAAATATAAATTCAACCAATACACAAATTAACTATATTTTATTTAATAGGTTTGGATTTGGGATCAGTGCTAATTTTATGCTAACATAAATGTCAATATTTATGTAACGTACAAAGAATAGTAACTTGGTTTATAAAAATGTATTAGCAATAAAATATGTAACAAATGTTTCTTTATACCAGTATATATAGCTATAAATTATAAATCTATATCAAGTTCTTTAATTTTGCAATCTTTTTGAAACACACAACAGTTAAACATGTAGTTATTATTGTAACTTACATTTTACAGATGATAAATCTGATGGTTGATAACCCAAGATTATACAGCAAACATACAGTAGAGTTAGCATTCAAATTAAGGTCATTCTAAATATAAAGTCTATGTTCTGATACCTATATATTCTAATACCTATGTAATGATACCTGTAATTCCCACTGAACATTCTGGTGATGGCTGGAACCATGATGTATCTTTGTTTGTCAGCCTAGGCTTAGTAATGTGCAACAGAAAACAGGAAGTATTTCACGATTTTTATAGGATATGCATCAAAAAATCAATAAAATAGCTGAACTCTAGGATGAAGATTAACAGTCTCATGTTTCATTTCTACTTCATTAAACTAGGTTCTAAACGTCATTCATATACATCTTCAAGTCAGGTAATTGAATTGTCAAATCTTGTTTGATTATTGTGGAATCATTTCAAAATTGCTGTGCATATATGTGCTACTTTAGTCCAACATGGATTGAGTACCTAGTCAAAGTTAAGCACTCTGCTGGGGTTCCACAGATACAAAATTGCTTTACCCAAACTAAGTGATTATACCATGAGTGGGGAAGTTGGTGGTGTTAGGTGGGAAGAACAATGTTAGACAGCTATAACTCATAGCAGAATAATATATATGTTAAATAAAAATGTAAATTCATAAGCTAGAAAGAGAAAAATTCATACAGAGACTGAAAATGGGGGTAGGTATCTGGAACATACTGTTGACTGTGGTAGAAAATAGGACTAGAATTGTTTTGGACCAGGACCAAGTGGATTAATTATTAGATTAAGTAGCATTCTCTCTTGATAATGGGAGTCATTTCTAGTTAATGAGGACAGGGTGATATATTCTGACTTGTATTGTTTGAAAGTACCTAATAGCAGGGAGAAAGATAAGTGAAAAATAGTGAAAAAAGAAAAGCCATCTAAAAGGCTACAATAGCAAAGGCATAAATTAGGGCTATGAATATTTAGATCAATGGATGGTCAAAAACTTGGTGAAAGTATAATGTAAGGGAGTTAATAGTACCAATAAACTGTATTAAGAATAACAGGAGAACTGGAAGTTTTGGGAAAATAATAAATTTGTCTTTGTTTAATTTAAAATGTTGATAGGGTAATGGGCAGGAGAAAGTTGAGAATTTGAGTCTATTTAAGAAAAGAAGTTTGGACTGGAGTTGTAAATCTGGAAGTTACAAATGTAAAGTTGGTGCTTGTAGCCCAAGGAGGAAAGAATCATCCCTCATAAAGAAGTTTTATGATACAATTATAATCCAGAGAACTTTTACATGTGAAAAGCAAGGAGAAAAAGTGTTAATGAAGAAACTGCTAAATAATCAAACATATAGATGAAGAACCTAGAAAGCTTCACAAAACTTAAGGAAGAAGAACCGTTCACCAAAGTGAGCAGAGCCATTAATGACAAAGCCTTAGAGAAATATACTTGGATTAACTCTAAAAACTGCACGGGGTTTCCAAATAGGATCAATGAAGACCTTTAAAAAGGGTTTCAGTAGAGCAGAGAGGACAAAGATAAATGTAATAAGGGGCTGGGACAGAAAGAGGAAATGGAAAGGGCTGTCATAGAAAAGACTTACACATTTTAGGGGATAAAGAGAAGAAAGGTATGGGTACGACCTACTTAATTTAGTCTGTACCTTATGGCAGGCATAATAACTCAGTGTTTTACATGTATTATTTTTTCCACTTAATCCCAGTAGCCCAACTCTCTTTTCCCCCTGTCTCAATCTGAAGTAGAAAATCCAGACTATTGGTTCCATCTTTCGGCTCTCCCAGGGGTCCTCAAACTTTTCAAACAGGGGGCCAGTTCACTGTCCCTCAGACCGTTGGCGGGCCGGACTATAGTTTAAAAAAAAAACTATGAACAAATTCCTATGCACACGGAACATATCTTATTTTGAAATAAAAAAACAAAACGGGAACAAATACAATATTTGTATTTGCATGTGGCCCGCGGGCCGTAGTTTGAGGACCCCGACATCCAATGCGTACTGAGTGATTCAAGTTAACAACATGGGGGTTGTGATGGGGAGAACTGAGGAGAGATAAAAGAAAATGGGGCGGGGGAATGAGTATGAAAACCCAGAACCTCACGCACAGTTTTGAGTGATAGGTGGGGGTCTGGTGGTTGAAAACAGCAGAAGAAACCTGGGCAACTTAGCTTGTGGTTTATTGATTGTATCCTGTGTGAGAATTTGTGTTTGTGCAGAGAGGTGATCGGGAGATGATTAAATGGCATATGATATCAGGTAAAATGGTAAATGCTGATTCTTCTAACCGGCTATGAAGAACTATGAAGAATTGACAACATGAAAAACTAAAATTTAAAATTTGGCTTGACTCTGTGAAAGCAATACTAAGTATTATAATGTTATCTATTAGAACTACTTACCAGTTATGCCTAATTATGTGCAACACTCTAATGATTATGTATGTAATTAAAAATTCATCAAATTAATTTTGCTAGAAAGCTTATTAGAGTAGAACAGAAATTTCATACTCGGATCAGTCTTCATAGAGTGCTTTTTATGAAGCACGGTCATTGGTTCATGCAACATTATCATTGGTTTGGATCTTAAACTGAAGTAGGAAGACCACTAGTATTTAGGGAGATGCAATATGCAAGCCAAGAAACAGATATGTAAACAGGGAATCTGATCTGTATTCCTCAGCATTATCATAAAAGGAGAGTGTCATTTTTAATTAAAGGAGAGTAGCTATGATGTCAGGAATCAAATGTAATCCAATTGATGAAGACAAAGCCAACACAGTCCCACTCCATTCTGTTATTTTAAGGAATATTTTTATATCCTTTTCAAAGTTGTATAGGAGAGTACTATAAAAGTGTGGGTATATATTTTCTATCAAATGCAAGTTAACAGTTTACAATAAGCATGTCAAAGGCTAAAACGGGCCAAATAAACAAGGTTTAAGTTGATGTGGGCCGCAAAAAGACAAAAGCTTCAATTTTTATAGAAACATAGGTTAATTTCAATAGAGACATGCTGAATACAAAGGGCTGAAATTAAATGAGTAATAATTAACATAAAATAATAGGACATTTTAATAAAAATTAATATTTTTTCTTGAACATTAACTTACCAGACACTGAATGACTGCACAAATTAATAAGCGTAACACAAACCTATTTTTCTTGTTCTCCAAAAGAAAAATAGTTCCTGTTGTACACACCAAACAAGTCATTCCAAGGCTAATGACCTGGCAGTCGGCTGCTAAAATATTCGCTGTTAGTATTAGTGGAGAGAAATGGTGTGCCTGCACGTAAGGCGCATAAGGGAAATGAATGCAACATGATTATATTAATCAGTCATTAGAGAACGTTGTAGTTTGTTATTAATAATTATGTATAACAGGATATTGTAAAAATTAAGTTCTGAAATTTTTATTAAAACTTTTCTTACATACTTTATATTGGCTGGGTCGTAAAAAAATATTTGTTGTGGGCCACATGTGGCCCATGGGCCGTGAGTTTGACATGTCTGGTTTACAAATAGCGTGTAGCTTTGAGGTATCTAAGATTCTAAGATGTTCTTTAACTTAGAAATAGATCTAAGAAATAGATTTTTGAATTTTTATTATTAATAATAAATAGTAAGAATTCTACATGGATACGAAATTAATTCATATTATATCTCTTTTCCTTTTCCTTTTCTCTAATAGCTGGTGGAATATAATGGCTAAAGACTGTGAAGCCAGAGTACCTAAGCTCTAATTCTGGTTTTACTAATTCCAGGTTATGTGAGTATCACAAAAATTAGCTAATGTTCACCAATCCTGTTTCCTCTTCATGGGCAAATAAAACAAGAAGTTTTCCCACTTGACGTGCTATTAGGTTAAAGCCATACATCTGGCTTCTGGACAATGTTATATAAGCAAAATTAGTGTGCGCCTCTTCCTGAACTGCCCTTGAAGAATTCAGATAATCTTCCACTTTCTTCCCTTCACTTGTCAGCACTCTGGATGCAAGGAATTCAGCAGAAAACTCATTGGACCTTGGAATTGTAGAGGTCTCAAATTGAGGGAGCCTGAAACACAACATAGGAGGCAGCCCTGAACCTAACTGTACTGTGATCTGGATTACAAATTATTATTTGTTGTTATTGTTGTTTCATTGAACTCCCTAGATACTAGGGTTGTTTGTTATACAATACATGGTGATAGGTAAATGACCTAAGATCTCGATTCTTGTTTTTAGTTACCTCTAAAATGGGAATAATAATAGAAACTATCTCATAGAGTTGTCATGAGTTTTAAATGGGGTAAGTCATGCCAAGTTCTTAAAATATTGCCTGCCAAATAGTAACTTTTTATTATCAGTATTTTTATTATCATTGTACCATTTAAGGTTAATCACTCATCCAGTACAACAGAATATCTATTGTCAATATTCGTATAATTTACACATTTTTTACGGCAATTTGGAACTATGTTTCTTTTTACAACAGGAGGGCTTTCTCTTTTGCTCTTTTACTTTTGGGTGTTACATGACATAATTCTAGTTTTGCCCCCAAAGCACATGTGCATTTTTAAATATCTTCTAGAGAAGATACCTTTTAGGCAAATTCTCCTGAAATGTTTACCTGATTGCAGAGGGGAAAACACTAACCACAGGAAATAAAGATTTTTCTATCCTGGCTACTAGCAATTGGTTCCTATAAAATATGAGTATTATTCTCTGAAGCAAATCAATGTACATCCACATTTAATTTTCTACATAAGCATGGACCAATTAACACCTCAGATAAGCAATTTTCACCAAATAGCTATGGCCATTTTCTCAGTCTTTAGGGATTATTGTTTTTTGTGGGTTTTTTTCTTTTAACAGCATTGGGTTTTAGAACACATTTCCCCAAATGTACGCTGGTTTATGATTTATAAAACACATATAAATAACTTGCTAACCTGCTTCAGAGTAAAAACACAACAGCAGAGAATGGTGATTAAAAGATGATAACTGGATTCCAACAATTATAAGATTCTAACAATTGCAATAATTACAAGTTATTACTGCTAGGAGGGTCCTTTGTATATTAGTTTTGTTTATATAAATACTTCTAAGCCAGAGAACCACTGTTTGCAATGTTGTATGTACAGCCATTAATTCATCTACAGTATAATCAATAGCAATATGCTGGCAGCCTTTACGACCTAAAATCAAACAATTCACATTGATTGTGTATTGGACTTAATACGATAGTGAGAACACAGCTATTGTATTCATGTGCTTCTAGGTTATATATTTCTCCCAGAGAGAAAATTAGAACTTTTATAAACTCTTTGGAAATACAAAAAGATACAGGTACCTTCCCAAATATATGTTATATGGGACATTATTTTACAAGGTAAAATAAGGTTTTATTCTCAAATTTAGTAATCAAATTGCTCCTTGAATTTGCTTTATACAAAAATGCCCTTTAACCAACAACTATAATTTTAGTAATGAGAAAAAAAATTATTCTTTTTAATGTAGCACTTTGAAAAAATAAGTATTTCCTTCACTTTTTATACTTGGAAATTGAAAAGCTGATACAGCATATTACCATGCCAGACAGTCCCTTTTGTCAGCAGGACACATGCTTGTCATATTTAGGATAGTGAGAATTTGTACCACGTCATTCTTTCTCTCACCCCTATTTCCCTGGCCTACTAAAAAGGAGTGTGAGCTGGCTTCCAGAGATTAGGCTCCTGCTTGTGGCTGCTAATGTGAATTTCTTCAGAATAATTTGCTTATTGCTAAACCACAGTCCTGGCCTCACTTTTTCAATGCGCTCTTAACATCAAGGAAAGAAATTCTATTTTAAATATGTTTGTTCCATTTTTGTTGTAGTATAACTTGCATACAGTCAAATTCACTCCTTTTAGTGTACAGTTCTGTGAGTATGAACAAATGCATACAGTTGTGTAACCAATACCATCATCAAGATATAGAACAGGGCCATTATCCCAAAAGATTTTTCTGGCCCTTCTGCAGTCATCTCCTTGCCCCACTGCCAATTTTTGGTAATTACTGATCTGCTTTCTATCTCTATAGTTTTGCCTATTCTAGTGTGGTTCTATAGATGAAATCATCCAGCCGGTGGCATCTTTACTTAGTAAAATGTATTTGAGATTCATCCATGTTGTTTTATCAGTAGTATTGCTGAATAGTGTCCACTGCATGAATGTACTCAGTTTGTTTATTCATTTCACAAGTGATTGAGATTTCAGTTATTTCTAGTTTGGGTTCATTGTTTATAAAGTTGCTATATACATTTACATACATGTTTTGTATAAACATAGGTTATCATTTTGTTTGGGTAAATATAGGAATGTTTGCTTATCCTATCTAATAAAGGGGGAATATGCTAATTGACCCTCACACCATCACAAAGATGGCATCGCCATCAGCCAATAAGGGGGGAATATGCTAATTGACTGTCCCACCCTCAAAGATGGTGGAACCCACAGCCAATAAGGAGGGAATATGCTAATTGACTACACTATCCTCAAAGATGGTGGCACCCACAGCCAATAAGGAGGGAATATTCTAATTGACTGCCATGCCCTCAGAGATGGCAGTGCCCAGAGCCACAAGATGGCTGCAGGGGAGGGCAGTTGTGGGCAATCGGGCTGGCAGGGGAGTACTTAGGCATCGATCAGGCTGTAAGAGGAGTGGTTAGGGGGTGATCAGGTTGGCAGACAGAAGCAGCTAGGGGCAATCAGGAGAGGCAGGCAGGCAAGCGGTTGGGAGATAGCAGTCCCGCATTGTAAGAGGGATGTCCGACTGCCAGTTTAGGCCCGATCCCTGTGGGACTGCTGGCTCCCTGTTGGATCGGGCCTAAACCGGCAGTCAGACATCCCCCGAGGGGTCCCATATTGGAGAGGGTGCAGGCTGGGTTGAGGGACACCCCCACCCAGTGCACAAATTTCATGCACCAGGCCTCTAGTATGGTAAAAGATGTTTCACTTTATAAGAATCTATCAAGTTTTCATGTAGTATGTAAGATATGAATAAAGGTTTATTTTCTTTTTACATTAAATGTTGAATTTTTCCAACATTTGTTAATCTAACCTTTCTCCATTAAATTACATTTGAATCTTTGTTAAAAATCAGTGGATTACATATTTGTGGGGGTATTTTTGATTAATCTACATATTTACCCTTTTTCCAATATCACACTGTTTTTGGTATAGTAAATCTTGAAATCTGGTAGCATGAGTTCTCATTCTATGTCCTTGTTTTCCAAGATTTGTTTAGATACTTAGTTCCTTAATATTTCCATAAAAATTTTATAATCAGCTTGTCAGTTTCTATGAAACCCTGCTAGGATTTTAATTGGAATTTTATTAAGTCTACAGATTTGGGAACACTGACATCTTAACAACATTATGGAGTCTTCTAATTTACAAATATGGTGTATATATACATTTATTTTGAGCTTTGGGTGCTTTTTTTCATGAGTTTTCAGCATATATTATAGAAATATGTTCAATTCATCCCTAATTATTTCATAGTTTGAGTGTTTCTATGAGTGGTATTGTTTATTTCAACTTCCAAGTGCACGTTGCTTGGATTTAGAAATACAATTGATTTTTACAAATTAACCTTGAATCATATGACCTTACTAAATTCACAAAAAGACACAAATTAAAAACAGCAGCTAGAAAAGAAAGGCTGTCACTGCAGACTCTATAACTTTAAAAAGATAATAAGAAAAACTACCAACCTCTCTAAGCCCTTAAATTTGACAACATAGGTGAAATAAATTAATTCTGTGAAAGACACAAACTGCTAAATCTCACTCAAGAAGAAATAATCTGAATATTTCTATATTTATAAAATAAATTGAATTAGAACTAAAACCTCCCACAAAGAAAATGCTAGATCCCGATAGTTTCACTGGAGATTCCACTAAACATTTTCAGAAGAAATTGTACCATTTCCATGCAAACATTTCTAAAAATCAGATGAAAAGAAAACATTTCTAACTCATTTTTACGAGTTTAGAATTATTCTAATACCCAAATCATACAAATACATTCAAAATAAGAAAACTATAAAACAATACTCCCTTTGAACATAGATATGCACTTCCTAACAAACCAAATATAGCAATATATAAAATAATAATAGATCATGACTATATGAGGTTTACCATATAATACAAGACTGGCTTAGAATTTGAAGGTCAATTAATGCAGGTTACCATATAAATAGACTAACAGAGAACAAAAATATGATCATTTCAATAGTGGCTTAAAAAGCACTTAACAAAAAAACCATATTTGACCTGACAAATATCTGCTATGATATCAGGGACAAGTCATAACAGGAACAAGGTAACTGCTCTTACCAGTTAAGGGCAATAATGGACTGGAGGCCCTAGCCAGTGCATTAAGGTTAGAGGGAAATAAAAGATTTTAAGATATAAAAATTAAAAAGAATGAAATAAATAAAACAACCTCTATTTTCAAACAACACAATTGCCTACATAGATTTTTTTAAATCTAGCAACACGGTTCAGAACTCAAAAGCAATTCTTTTAAAATACTATTTAATAAATGAACAATGAGTAAGCTATCACTTCATGCTTTTCACTTTGCATAATAATATTCTTATGAATTTACTATTCTTTCAATAAGGAAAAGCAAAAATTTTTATAATTTACATATATTATGAGGTAGAAGCTGTAGATAATTATGTAGTTTAAGAAAATATTCTGTGGACTGAGTGTGAAGTTTATAACAGATTGTACACATTCTGTGTTAAAATAACATGGTTGTGTGTATATACTCAACGTATATATACCTTCCCATCTTTTTTGATAGTTGTATATTATTCCATTTTATGGATGATTCATAATTTAGTAAATAAATTACCTGCTGAAACACATTATTTTTTTATAAAGGACACAGCTACCTGTTTAAATATCATTTTACTTTTCCTTCTGAAACAAGTAAAGAGTTGTTTGTAAGCAGTGGTGACCCCAGGCAGATACTCTAGGTCCTGCCTCTCTTTCCATCTGGTTTGGGCCTCATAACTGGTTATTGCCTAAGGAAGGTGTGCAGGGATGATATCTATCTCTTCCTCATCAGAACGATGAAGAGTGTTCATGTCTTCTCCACTCCCTTATTTACTGCCTGGAAAAGTCCTTGCACTGCTGTGCTTTCATGCTGTTTTCTCAGATATTTCTCTGTCTATACTGGGAATACAACTCTAAGGTATGCTACCCCATGAAATTTGAAATGTATAAACTAATCCAAAGCTAAACCAAAGTAACAACAACAACAAAATTGAGCATGTACCACACCAATGGTGAGAGATTTTCCCATTTTATATTACATCTGCAAGTTGCAGGTTTACTGAGAGAAGGAGTTCTAACCTCAACTCACTGGCTAACACTAGATGGAAATGGCTTACTTTAGACTCTGAATAAAATCATTTTTAGTAACTTACCAACTTTGCATTCTGGTTTCATAAGGAACATTTTATTTTAATGGCATTCAGAGTTCTAAAATTTAAATATACAAAACTTTTAAAGTTTTTATTATACAGAAAATATCTAGTTACCAAGGCACAATCAAATGAGAAGAGGTTAATTTATTTTATGTTACAAAAAGACAAATTTGGTTTCAATATTCATTGACAAAATGTGCTAAATAATATACCTGTAATCTGTAGGTATAAGTTATTAGTGAAAATATTGTGCAAGAAAAACATTTACTTCAGTTTTACCTATGAGAGGATATCCTATATAATAAAAGGCTAATATGCAAATTGTCCCCTCAACAGAGAGTTCGACCCGAAGTTTGACCAGGAGGCCGAGCCAGCCCACCAGCTGCCCACAGCCCCTCCCCCTGGCTAGCCCCACCCCTGATTGGCTCCCCCCACCTCATTCGAGGTGGGCCAGCCAGATCCCATCCGTGCACGAATTTGTGCACTGAGCCTCTAGTGAGAAGATAAAACAAAACAACACATGCTTGTGTGGGGTTTTCTTCTCAGGTTAAATTATATGAGGACAATGCCATTACTAATGTCATAGGGATGGTGTGAGATTTAAATACAGTAATTCAATAGAAGCACTTATCTTAGTGTCTGAATATTTTAAAAGGCCTATTATAGGTTGGCAGTTATAATAGTATAATTACAATAATTAACAACATTTCCACCAAAGGGACCCAGAAATTTTCTCTTCCATTTTTGTTTCTATAAAATAACAGGCACACAAGCTTTCTTGAAATGTGCTCTAGTTCTTAAGGTAGAAGACATAGACCTGTTTGTGATATCTCTTACCAGACATTTAATTGCACGCTAGTTCTTAAATGTTCTGAGCCTTAGATTTCAACTGAGCAAATGTTTTGATGAGTTTTTGTGCATATTAAAATTATAATGAGAGCAAGCATGCTCTATAAGCTGAAAGTATCATGTAACTGCCTAGATATGAACTGGTATAGAGAGAGATAAGGGAGAGAGAGCTGAGGATGCTATGCGCATTGGACTGATAAAACTAAGGTAGTATGTAGTATTACACATCTTGTTTTAGTAGTGCTTTGTATTTGATATTGTAGTAAGGATTATAGGCTATGTGTATTAATAATAAGAAAACCATTGTTATATCTTTGCCTGGTTCAATATACATAGATGCATCCCCAGTGAAACTATGCTTGAGGGGGAAAATAACCAAATTTGCCACAAGGACCTGAGAAAAATATAATTACCTAGTAGAAATTGCATACATCTAGTAAAAGAATTTTTATGCCTACAGGTGGAAGGGTAAAAAATGAATATATAGTTGAAAATAGATTATATGCATATAAATTACATAAGTATATTACATAACTTATTTGAGCTAAACATAATAGGGTGGAGGCAGTAGTAGCATTTGGGTTCAAGAACATGAGGTAGCATGAATAAAGTAACCTCCTTTGAAAAGGGAGTTCATAACTTCTAGCAATTTCTGGATATTTAGGAGGTTAGAGGTACTTGTGATTAAATCTACAGTATTTGCAAAGTGAAGGTAAAAGTCATTTTTCTTTCCTTTCAAAGGTCAGACATTGTTGTCTTAAATCCTCATACTAGTCCCAGTCCATAGAGGCAACAATAACCTTGGGAAGGTGTCTGTTAAGTTCAATACATGAGAATGAACAAAGGTAAATGCAACACATTTCTTGGCAGCAGTACACTGAAGGTTTATTCTCTGAAGAGATGGAAGCAGAGTAATTTTTTTACCGGGAGAACAATAGGCACAGACACAGGCATGGGTCTCACATTAAAAACAGGTGGAAGCTCTACTGCAGGAACAGACCAAGAATACTGGGCTCCAACTGCTCTCCTCACTCATGGGGCAGAGGTTCCATGCCAAGAAGACCAAAGGCAACCACAGCCACCTAGAATGCCACTTGTAAAGCAGAGGGGTCACTCTGAGGGAAGTGGGGCAGTGTACCCATCTCTAGCTCCAGAGCAGATATAAAGAGATTGCCCAGGGGAAAAAGCAGGCTTGCAGAACAGATATCTGGGTCATTCTCCCGATGGGAACTGACTTCATTTAGATCAGAGCACCGAGAAGTTCAAACCTAAAAGCCTGTCAAAAGCAATAGAGATTTTGGTGGTAATTAAGGAAGACAATGATGGTAGCTCCATGGGAGCAACAAACTAAAACAAAGGTCAGCGAGACTCAACAGAAAAGATGGCTAAGAAGAAGAATCCTCCTAGAGTTAGGACAAAGTTCAAAGTCTGCTTCTGAGAAGCGGCTAAAATTGTATTTGAATAAGACAGTGGAGCAATTTATGACAAAGTCCTTTTTAAATAAAAATTTGATTTTTTTTGGGGGGGTGTCATTGGTTAATAAAATTACATAGGTTTCAGGTGTACAATTGTATTATATATCATCTGTATATTGTATTATCAGCTGAGACTTAGTGCATGCTAACTGGCAAGTGTGATAACAATAGAGGCATACATCTTAAAAAAAAAATCAGGTAAACAGAAAATCTAACAGAGTCCTTTTAAAACACTGTCATCCCAGGGGGACTGTGGATATGCCCAAGTCTATACCCTAAAAGGGGCGACAGAGACATCACCAAAATAGTCCAGTCCAGGTAATAAAAAAGTTAAACATGCCTAAAGATAAAATAAAATAAACCACCAAGTCTCACAATAAGGGGCAGGGAAGAGCAGTATCTAGAGTTATTAAAATATATTATCAAAAATTCTAAGTTTTCAATCAAAAATTATGAGACATGCAAACAAACAGTAACCTGTGACTCACACATAAGAAAAAGAAAACCAGGTTGTAACAAGAAATGCTTTTCAGAGACCCCTTGTGAGGATTAGCAAACAAAGACACAAAATAGCTATTATATATTTACTAGATGCCCAGTATATGAAATTCGTGCACTGGTAGGGTTCCTAGTGGCTGCCAGCTGCCACCCAGGTACTCCCTCCCTTTCCCTGGCCAGCCCTGCCCCCTGGTCAAACTTCCAGACAAACTTCCTGTCAAGGGGACAATTTGCATACTACGCTTTTATTATATAGGATTCAATAAAACTACAAGGAAAATGCTGAAAGAAGTAAATAGAGAATATGGTAAAAATAGCACAGGTGACAGAATAAATTGTACTTTATCAAAAGTGAAAACCATAATGAGATACTATTTCACACCATTAAGGTGGCCATTATTAGAAAGAGAAAATTAAAAAAGTAAACAGAAAATAACAAGTACTGGCAAGGATGTGGAGAAATTTTAACCCTGTGCATTGCTGCTAAGAATATAAAATGGTGCAGTCACAATGGAAAACAGTATGGTGGTTCCTTAAAAAGTTAATATAGAATTACCATATTATACAACAATTCTACTTCTGGGTATGTAACCAAAATAGGAAAAGCAATGATTTGGACATATATTTGTACACACTTGTTTCATAGTAATATTGTTCAAAATAACTGAAAGGTGGAAATGATCAAAATGTACATAACCAGGTAAATAGATAAACAAAATGTGATATATGCATACAAAGGAATGTTATTCTGACACATGCCTCAACATAAATAAACCTTAAAAATATGCTAAGTGAAACAAGCCAGTCAAATAAAAAAAATTGCATGACTTCACTTATGTGTACCTAGAGTGGCCGAATTTATAGAGCTAAAATATAATGATGGTTTGGTTTTCAGGAGCTGGGGAAGGTATGGGAATTCATGTTTAATTTGTATGGCATTTCAGCTTGGAAAGCTGAAAATTTCTAGAGATGGATAGGGTATCAGTTGTACAACAATGTGACTGTACTTAATGCCACTGAGATGGACACTTAAAAGTTATAAAAATGATAAATTTGATATTATTTATGTGTTATCACAATAAAAAATCTGAAAGTGAAATTGAAAACAATTCCACTTAAAATAGCACCAAAAACAAAATACTTAGGAATAAATTTAATAAAAGAAGTGTAAGAGTTATACACTAAAATTTCATGTTCATGAATTATAAGACAACTAGAGGCCCGGTGCACAAAAATTTGTGCACTTAGGGGGGAAGGGGGTCCCTCAACCCAGCCTGTGCCCTCTCACAGTCTGGGACCCCTCGGGAGATAATGACCTGCTGGCTTAGGCCTGCTCCCGGGTGGCAGAGGGCAGGCCTAATCCCTAGGTGCAGCCCCTGGTCTGGCTCAGAGCAGGGCCGATTGGGGAGTTGGGGCACCGCCCCCTGTCAGGCACAGAGCAGGGCCAATCAGGGGGTTGGGGCTCTGTACCCTGTCACTCACAGAGCAGGGCCAATCAGGGGGGTTGGGGCTCTGTACCCTGTCACGTACAGAGCAGGGCCAATCAGGGGGTTGGGGCGCTGCCCCCTGTCACGCACAGAGCAGGGCCCATCAGGGGGTTGGGGCGCCGCCCTCTATCACCCACAGAGCAGGGCCGATCAGGGGGTTGGGGCGCCGCCACTCTCACACTCAGGGCAGGGCTGATGGGGAGGTTATGGCTCTACCCCGTCACACACAGAGCAGGGCCCATGGGCGGGGGGGTGGGGGTTGGGGCGCCGCACCCTATCACACACAGAGCAGGGCCGATCAGGGGGTTGGGGCTCCACACCCTGTCACACACAGAGCCGCAAGGTGATCAGGGTGTTGGGGAGCTCCCCCCTATCAGGCACAGAGCAGGGCTGATCAGGGGGTTGGGGCGCCTTCCCCTGTCACGAACAGAGCAGGGCAGATAGGGAGGTTGTGGCCCCACCCCCTGTCACACACAGAGCCACAGGGTGATCAGGAGGTTTGGGCGCTGCCCCCTGTCACGCTGATCCCGGTGCTGGGAGGCATCGCGGCTCTGCTGATCCCGGTGCTGGGAGGCATATTACCCTTTTACTATATAGGGTAGAGGCCTGGTGCATGAGTGGGTGCCAGCTGGTTTGCCCTGAAGTGTGTCCTGGATCAGGGTGGGGGTCCCCACTGGGGTGCCTGGCCAGCCTGGGGGAGGGGATGATGGCTGTTTGCAACTGATCACACACCCTTCAGGGTGGGGGTCCCCACTGGGGTGCCTGGCCAGTCTGGGTGAGGGGCTGAGGGCTGTTTTCAGGCTGGCGGGTGACTGAAGCTCCCAACCACTCCTTTTTTTCTTTTTTATTCTGGGCCAGCTTTAGCTTTGAGGCTTGGCTCCAGCTCTTAGGCCTCCGCTGCTGAAAGTAGGTTTCTGGCCTTTGCTTACAATGTTGCGATCCTGCTGGCTGAAGCCCGGCGGACTAATGCAGGTTTCTGGGGTTTTGTTTACCTTCTATATTTGTTACATAGTTGCTTAGAGTTGCAGCTCAGAGGCCTGCAGGGGCAGGTGGGGAACGTTGGAGTCCTCCGTCACTGAAGCAAGCAAGCCTCATGTTAGTTTCAAGCTGCCTGGCTGCCGGCTGCCATCTTGGCTGGCAGTTAATTTGCATATTGCCCTGATTAGCCAATGGGAAGGGTAGCAGTCGTATGCCAATTACCATGTTTCTCTTTTATTAGATAGGATACTTGCCACATGATCTACAGATTCAACAGTTTAAATTAAGAAAAGTCACAGACAGCTTTGGAAGGTATGTCAACAAGAAATTCTACATGGGTTAGTTCTGAAGACTAAAATAATGATGATGAAAACAGTGAATATTGATTTAAACAAGAACTGTATATATTTATTTTGGAAGAATCTATGTAGTAGGTGAGTTAAGAAGGGCATTTTCTAAGCAAGCAAAATAATCACCAGTAGAAAGCAGCCTTTCTGCATAAATTGACAAGATGATCTAAAGTTTCTATGGAAATGCAAGGAACAGAATAGCCGGGAAAAGTCTTAAAATGAAGAACAAAGTGAGAAGACACACTTCCCTATTTCACAATTTACTACAAAACTACAGTAATCAAGACTATGCCATACTGGCATAAGGATAGACAAATAGCTCAATGGAACAGAATTGAGACTCTAGATATAAACTCTCACATCTATTCCTACTTTATACAAAGTTTGCATTCTAAGTTGCTTTCTTATTTTGGGTGAAGGAAGAAAATCTTCCTGGATTGATGCTTCTATATACTTTCCTGGGTGATAAAATTTTGGTGGGCTTAAATGTCTGAAAAACAATCTTAGTCTGTCAATTGACAGGTTTTACATAGTAGAGTCTATGAATCGTTTTTTGTTAGAATTTAGGCACTGCTTCACTTTTTCTAATTTCAATAATACTACTGAATGTTCCAATACAATTGTGATACCCGATCGTTTGTATGTGAGTTTTAATAACATGTTTATTAAACTATAGTTCATATATCATATAATTCACATAATTAAACCATAAAATCCAGTGTTTTTTGTTTATTGACAGTTTTTCAACCAGCATGATAATTAATTTAGCATATTTTTATTATGACAAAAATTAACCTTGCACTCACTACCACCATTCTACTGATGGACATAGTCTACTAGACAATTCATGTAATGGGATTATACAACATATAGTCTTCTGGGACTGACTTTTTTTCACTAGCTTAATGTTTTAAAGATTCATTGATGCAGCTTATACCAGTACTTCATTTTCATTGCCAAATAATGTTCCACTGTATGGATATACCTCATTTTGTTTTCTCATTCATCCATTGAGCAAAGAAAAGAAAGACTCATGGGCACAGATCACAGTATGGTGATGGCCAGAGGGAAAGGGGCTAGGGAGAGGTAGTAGAAGGTAAAGGGGGGATAAATGGTGATGACTTAGGGTGATAAACACCAAATACAATATACAGATAATGTGTTGTATAGTTATATACCTGAACCATGTAACATTTTATTAACCAATGGCATCCCAGTAAATGCAAATAAAAATAATTTTATCATAAACTAAACTGTATAGTATTCTACATGTGTGACTATTTGGGGAATCAAGGCATTGTCAGAGAAACATGTATTAGAAATCTATAATGCAGGTCACAAAAGCACTCTAATGCTATCTCAAGGTATTTCCTCTTTCTCCATGCCACCTTTGAAAAGTGCCAAATGATAGACATTATGAAAGCAATTATGCAGTCAATTGCCTTCTAGGATAATTCAATTCTGTCCTGTGTGCAATAAAAAGTAGTTTGTTAGGCATATTACAAATTAGAAAACAATTGAGTGAAAGCATCGCAAGGACAAGTATCAGATCTGTCTGATACCCTCAATGTGTTAGCAGAATGTCTGACACATGGAAGATGTTATTAAGTATATCCCAAATGACAAGTGCAATTCCAAAATATTTCATTTCTTATTTTGGGAAATGGAAAAGTCAGTCCTTTAAACAGGGCTGGGGTTCACTCCCTTGCCTGTTAATATACACAGGCTCTACGTTATCATTTGTCTTTTCATGTGAAAATCCTGACATCTTTATCAGATTTAAGCTCCGATCATAAAGATGCTATTATTTTATTAAAAACTACTTTTTATTACATTAGTAACTCAATAACAACATCTATAATAATAACAATGGTAATAATTACACCAGAAAGCTATTTTTTTAAAGTTGAAATCAATGATGCATAGTAATAATACAGACATTTTTGCTAATTGTCAAACAGGCTTCATTCATTCATTCATTCATTCATTCACTACTTATTGATTATATGATATATAACACACTGTGCCAGTTATGCCATGATGATCACAAGTTTCATCCTGGGTTGACAGTATTGGAGAGACAATCACATCCATCATAGACTGATAAACAGAAAAGTGGATGAAAGGAACTTTGTGCTATGACAGGATTGCTAAGGACATTGGACCCATCAGGGATAATACTAAAGAGTTCCTCAAGGAGGCAATACAAGTTGAGTTCTGACTTATTAGGATGTAACTTAATGTAAATTACCTAGAGAACTTGTTAAAATGTAGATCCTGATTCAGAAAATCTGAGATGCTGCATGAGATTCTGCATTTCTAATGAGCCCACAGATGGGGCCCATGCTGATTATTCAAGTACCATACTTTGAGTAGCAGTGATTTTTGGAGGAGAGGGATAATTGAAAACTATAGTTTCCATTAGCAGTTCATCCTCTGTAGCTGCAAACTTTGTAGACCTTGGGTCCCCATCTCTTCTGCTACTGGTAGATGTGTGCTCCTACAGAGTTTAACAGCAAAACTTCAAGTAAGCACATCTAAATCTTTTTATAAGAAGGAAAATCATGACTGGTTAATTTTAGAATTTTTTTTAAAAAAGAGACATTGGTAATCTGTAACCTTTTAACACTTCATGCCACTTCCAAACTGTGAGTGGGTTCCAAGAATCATACGTGCACAGGTCCTGAACTGTGGTGCTTTCCCCATAGCCCCAGGTGCCAGCTGTGGTGAAATGAGAACAAACCTCACAGCTTTAATATGGCCTGTTATTTGATTTTCAATAAATGTAGAAGACACAGACTATATAGTATGAGCATTGGTATTTTCTCATACTTTGAGGTATTGGATAGGCCTCTTTTATATCCCTAATATTTCTCTCTGAAATCTTAATTTAACAATATTAATAGGCTATGTTAAAAACTAAAGAAATAAACAAAAAGCTTCCAGAAACAATCAGCATATAAACACATAAATAAATTTTCATGATAATTTCATTTAGGATGGAAATGCATAATATTGGCTTGTTTAAAGTCCCCGAAATAAAAATATTAGCAATGATTCACTTAGAATAACATGTGGTACTTTGTAACAGATTTAAAAAAAGTAATTATATTGCAATTACAATGTGATGTAGGTAGTTTTTAAAATCCATAGTAAACAGACTGAAAAGAAACAGTGATTTTTTATGATAGGCATTATAGAGTAGTACACTGATTATAGAGTTTGCCAAATAAAGATCCAGCCCATGTTTGTATTTAGTCCTTAAAATAAGCACCACAACATTTTTGCTCTCTCACTGATTTATATCTTCATGAATTTACCTGATCTTATCATAAGGTTATTCATTTCAATTTTATTACTCAATATTCACACTCAAGATACCAATGTCTAGACAGGTCTTATCAAATAGTGTGTGCTTTTCATAGTTCATATTCCCCAATTTAGAAGCATATTTATTTTAAAGATTAAGCTTTTTACTTTAATTTACCCTATGCCTATTTTCATCCACATAGAGCCTTCCAGTTTTCTTTTCTGGCAGCAAAGGGTACCTTGATTGATAGAATTCAATTGCTGGGTTGAAATAATGCAGCTGGCTTTTATCTTACATGAGTATGTCTTTTTTATTAGTTTTACCTATTACATGAGAAAGAATGTGACAAAAAATGTAATGATCTTAGATATCCCACCTGGGCTCATAATGCTGTCTAGATTATAGAATATTGACTTTGCAGGAGCGAATGAGAATTCTAAGAGTTACAACAGAGATATGAGTAAAAGTATAAAATGAGTTCAGTGTAAACATGCTACTCACTGATTCTAAACAAGATCAGTGTGACTGGAAATCATGCATTTGACCACATATGCTAATAAAAGATTAAAATGTGTTAACATTATCCTAATATATAAAAACCCAGGGTCTGTAACATCCAAAACAACCAAAGGCTCGACCTACCGGAAATCAGTGCAGGGTGGCCATGGCGACCCAGCACTGACTGCAATCATTGAGGGCCCCCCAACCCAGCACTGACTGCTGAGGGGACTGTGGATCAGGTCCAAAGAGACGCCTGAAGAGAAAAGCAGGGTCTGATCCGCAGCCTCCGTGGCAGCACTTGCCTTTCTCTTTCGCTCTGGGCCTGGCCAGCAGCCGTGCCTCTCTTTCTCTTGGGCCTCCACTGGGGCTGCTGATCAGCCCCGCGTCTCTGATCAGGCCCATTGATAGGCTAGGAGATGCTGACTAGCATAGCAACTGACCAATCAGAATCAAATCTGGGTGAACTGCGAAGGCAGAACCTAAGGTGGAGGCTGAGGAGGGGATTTAAGGGCAACAGCTATTTGGTGTAAAGTATAAGAAAGCGGTTTAATTTTTAATGACCAATTTGGCAGTATAGTGCATATGGCTGGCTATCAGTCCAGATATAGGGATTATGTATTTTTGTCTGCCAAGAGCATTGCCTCCTGCTGAAAAAGTCTTTTCCCTCCCATTTAAGCAATCATATTCTATATAATCTATCTATACTATTAAGAGGGTAATATGCTAATTAGACTGGGTTGACTGGCCATCCGAATTCCTTCTGGACAAAGCCATGGTGGTGGGGGCCGAGACAGAGGTTGTTAGTGGTGATCAGGATGTCAGGGGAGGGAAGTTGAGGGCGAGATCAGGCTGGCAGGGGAGGGCAGTTTGGGGCAAGATCAGGCTGGCAGGGGAGGCCAGTTAGGAGTGATCAGGCAGGCAGGCAGAGAGGTTAGGGACAATCAGGCAGGTAAGCAGAGGCAGTTAGGGGTGATCAGGCAGGCAGGCAGGTGAGTGGTTAGGAGCCAGCAGTCTCAGATTGTGAGAGGCATGTCTGACCACAGTCAGACATCCCACAAGGGGTCCCCGATTGGAGCGGGTGCAGGCTGGGCTGAGGGAACCCCCTTCCATGCATGAATTTTGTGCACCGAGCCACTACTTTATACTTATAAAAATCTTTAAATTTGATGTAATCGCAATACCTCCAGCAGTTTTTACAGAGTAGAAAGAGAAAGTCACAAAGTAACTGTTAAACCAGGTACCTAGATCCCAGTCTGTAAATTTACATAACAGAAATCTGACCACATTCATATTCTGAAATCTAGTGATAATAAATATATACTAATTAAGCTGAGAAGCAGAAAAAATGGTGGTTGACAAGCTACTGTGCAGTATAGGAGTTAAAAATATAATATTTTATGACAAACTGTTTGGTTCACATCCACAGTCTGCTACTTACTAGCTATGTGAGCTACCTTGAAGAGTTTGCTTGACCTTTCTAAGTCTCAGTTTAAAGTGATTATAAGAAATATTAAACTTCCAAAACTTTTAGGAAAAATTAGATAGTGTTATTAAAGTACCAAGTATGTCCTGATTCTTGGTAAATAATAACTGCTTTCCTAAAAATATAGTTGTTACCTGTATAGGATTTTTTAAGGTATATTATAGCACCTGGAATTTTCTTGAGTCTATGGAATTACCTAGTGATAATTGCTCATTTTTATGATGTACAAGGATCTGGAGACCTATGTGCATCATCCATGACTAGAATATAATGATGGTTAAGATGTTAGAATCAGAATGGAGACTTACCTATGACTTGTACTTATGAGCTGGATGATCTTAAAAAAGTAACTAAACTTATTTAGAAGCTATTTTTTTTTCTTTCAGAGCCAGAATGAAGTTACCAGTTTTTCCTACTTCATGGGATTATTGGAAGGATTGAATGGGAGAATGTTATAAAGCATCTGCACAATTCTTGGTACATGTAAAGCTAGTCAATAATATAAGTAAAACTCTAGTCTTCAATGTTTAGGATTTAGTGGTTAGGATAAAAAGTGATCTATATTTTTCCAAGCAAACTTAGAGAACAGATAATGAATCAAAAAAATTCAACAGGATGAAAATAGGCAGAACTGCCTGCCTTGCTCATAATTTTTTGTAAAATGTCAATTATAATGAAACTTCTGTGAGCAAGATATTTTTCTATTTCTTGATGGATCTTTCAAGGGTTATATATATGTTCTAGAGGCCTGGTGCACGAATTCGTGCACAGGTGGGGTCCCTAGGCCTGGTTGGAGATTGGGGCCAATTGGGCCATCTCACCCAGTTCTGATTGGGGCAGATTGGGGCCGGCCAGGCAGGGGCAAGGACCATGGCAGGCTGGTCAGCTGGGGGGAGTGACCATGGGATGTTGGCCAGGCACAGGAAGTTGGCTGTGGGAGCGTACTGACCACCAGGGGGCAGCTCCTTCATTGAGCGTCTGCCCCCTGGTGGTCAGTGCACATATAGCAACCAGTTGACCCATCATTCGGTTGCTTAGGCTTTTATATATATAGAATATACACAGCTATATATAACTGGGTGGTAGTACTAGAAGTATTATTGAGGTACAGAGGAAAGAGAAAAACAATGGTCCAGAGTAGCTTGAGAACATTTCATTAATGTTACTTATGGTTGTTGAAGTATCCATAAATTCTAAAAGAAATTCAAAGGCAAAAGCACAACTTGGGGAAAAAAAGAATATGTTCAAATAATGTTAGTAAAATATCTGATTGGTATAGGGATTTTTTTTTAAATGTAAGTGGTTGAAAATAAACTGAGCTGGATATTATAGTATATGACTTAATACATAAATATTATCATTGTGAGTTTAAATTTCCTGTCTTCACTGCTGATAAGTCCTTGAGAGGAGAGATTCTGCCACTCATCTCATCATGCAGATGCCTAGCACAGTGCCTACTTTCCTTAACCATTTATTTGCTGTTTCTTTATTCCAATTTATCCTTAAGATTCCTGTGCTAATGACATTGCAGGCTCAAAGGATGAAGACAAATAAATAATTATAATACCAAATGGTATATGCTATGACAGGGGAAATACAGGGTTCAGTTGAAAATAATATTAGTGGGGCTTCTTTTGGAAAATTTTCTTAAATAAAATGCATTTAAGGTGAGACATACATGTTAACTAGAAAATTACCAGGCAGAGCAGCGGGAAAGAATGGTCCATATAGAGAAACAATATGTAAAAAAGATCCAAAATTGAGAAAGGGCACAGCATAATCAAGGACTTAACTAAGGGAAGTTTGGCTTGACTAAAACATAGATTGTGAGGAAGAAAAGAACAAGCTAGACAAGCTCATAAACTATGTTAAGAAATTTAGAAAGTATCTTGAAGGTTTTAAGGAATCATGGTCACATTTATGCCCCATTTCAGCATTTTTTTTAAACACAAGTCCTCCTTAGATTACAGTGAGTATCTGAAATTTACCTTGGGTTTTAGGCAAGAAAAAATTCTTTCAATGGTGCAAACTAATTTTATTGAAATCAGTAGCAGTCAATATGGCAATCGCTTGCTGACTCCTTGACATCTCTTTAGCAGTAGATTCCTCTGATCACTAACACTACCTTTATCTGTTGAAGTGAGGCATTAGAATGGATTCTCTAAGACAGTAGTAAATTAGCTTTTACTTTATCGTTATGGGAAAGCAATTTCTAGATCTCTTTTTTCCTGAGCCAACTCCTGTTAAGAGGGAAATTCCAAGCAACTACCCCCAACTTTCCTGTGAGGGAAGGAAAAAATAAAAACAACTAAACAAACAAACAAACAAAAAATTTGTGGGACATCTGGCCTCTAAATCCTTCCAAACTTAATTTTCTATTGCTGACTTCATAAGACTTCTTTAAAGCACAGCTTTCTAGTAGTGAGCTGTGCTGCTCCATGAGATTAGCTGAATCTGTTCTTGTACTAAGTTCTCTGCAAAGTTAAGCACAAAGGACCATGACCTGTGATTTAGGAGCTCACCTAAGGTCCTATAAAGTCAGAATAGTTTAAAGGTGTAAAACTGAATGTAGACTAAAAAGGCCTTACTGATTAGCTATCCTAACCCCTCATTTTAAAATGAAGACACAGAGGCCAAGAACTGTGAAGTGTACCATAGTCCTTCTACAAGTTAGGCTATATCAAATTTCAGTCAATATTTAAATAATATTGAATTACCCAATAACTTTTCTAACAAGCCATGCTTCCTCTCTAAAAATAACACCCAACATTTATTGAGAACTCTCTATGTGCAAGTCAAACTGCATTTTAAGTAGTGAAATTTTAGTCTTAACAACAGCTGTAAGATATAAGAATTTTCATTATCCACATTTTATATGTGAAGATCTTAGGCACAGAGCAACTGATTTACTGAGGTAACAGAGATACTTTATTGTTTAAAAAGGCAGCTAATCCAGGATCTAACATTATAATGATATTATTCTGTTACTACCTGCATAGTTTAAGCTCAGTAATTTAAATCACTAGAATGTTAGCTACTTGAAGATAGAGGTTTTGTACTATTTTGTTTAGTACTGGTTGTCTACTTAAGGCCTAGAAGAGTGATTATGATAACTGCTCAATACATGATTGTTTATTGAATTGACATGGCTGTATATAAAATAGCATTAAGTATGAACTGAAGTGCTTTATAATTCTTGGATTCAGAAGAGTTCTGGGGACAATTATTTTTTAATAAAAAAATATAAAAGTTAACTATCTATTAAGTACAACATGAAAACAGTCTATGGTTAACATTATTGGATAGGATTTTAATTTAGCTAATGTAGGCTATTAAAATCAGTTCACATGTACTTTTCTCAAAAAGGCTTTCTGTGAGACCTGTTTCTGTATTAGGTCCTGAACTTTAGTCTTAAAATACCATCATTCCCTAATCTATTTCATCAATGGTTTTAATTATATGGTAATGTATCTACACTAATAAAAAAACATGCAAATTAACCATCACTCCATCACTCTGCTATTCCCACAAGCCACGCCCACCAACCAATCAGGAGCAAGTATGCAAATTAACCCAAATAAGATGGCTGTGGCCATGGAGCTGGAGCAAGCAGGAGGCTTGGGTTTCCCCCGGCAATGGAGTAAGCCAAGCTTCCTGCCTGCCCTGGCCGGCCCTGGGCTCCACTCAAGGCTACAAAGTTTTAATTATAGAAGATAAATAAATCCCAGATACCTGCTTCCAGCCCACCCTGGCCTCCACTCAAGAAGGCACTGAAAAAAAAGAAAAGAAAAAAAGGAGAGGCTGGGAGCTTGATTTGCCAGGGGTGGGGGGGCAGCCTAAAAACGGCCAACAGCCCCTCACCCAGGCTTGCCAGGCACCCCAGTGGGGACACCAACCCTGAAGGGGGTGTGGCCAGCCCAAAAACAGCCATCAGCTCCTCACCCATGCTGGCCATGCACCCCAGCGGAACCCCCACCCTGATCCGGAACACCCTTCAGGGCAAACCAGCCAACCCCCATCTGTGCACCAGGCCTCCATTCTATATAATAATTCTATGTAATAAAAGGGTAATATGCAAATTGACCCTAACAGCAGAATATCTGGGAAGGACTGGTCACTATGACACACACTGACCACCAGGGGGCAGACGCTCAATTCAGGAGCTGCCCCCTGGTGGTCAGTGCGCTCCAACAGGGGGAGCTCTGCTCAGCCACAAGCCAGGTTGATGGCTGCCAGCACAGCGGTGGTGGTGGGAGCCTCTTCCTCCTCCTCAGCAGGGCTAAGGATGTCCAACTGCAGCTTAGGCCTGCTCCTCACTGGCAAGTGGATATCCCACGAGGGCTCCCGGGCTGCCAGAGGGATATCTGACTGCCAGCTTAGGCTTGATCCCCCGGGGAGTGGGCCTAAGCCAGCTGGTGGACATCCCCCAAGGGGTCCCAGACTGCAAGAGGGCACAGGCCAGGCTGAGGGACCCCCCGACAAGTGCACACGTTTTTGTGCACCGGGCCTCTAGTATAGTTATATTTTAACATTTACTCCCTCACAAATTTTTAAGAGCAGGGAAGATGACTCTTTTCTTCACTAGTTTTCAGTCATAAAGCAGTTGCTAAATTAGTAGGTCTTAACTAAATGAATGACCAGAAATAAATGACTGTATGAAACATTTGGTGGTTTATAGTAAAGAACTTGGCCTTGTCCAAAAAAAGGTTTCAAGTTTGCCCTTGTCTTCCAGGAGGAAATCTATACTATAACTGACAGGAGGGTCTATTTAGCGCAGGAGTGGTTACTTCAGAAACACTTATTATGTGATTTAGGGTGGGATTTGAATTTTATGGTATCTGTTGACCTGGACTTTGATTTCAACCACTTTGGCAGTCAATCAATCAAAACTCTGTAATAATGATCCAATGAAAATTCTGGACACTGAAGATCAAGTAAGCTTTCAATGCTTCACTGTCACACATTGATACCGGGAGGGTCAACTTTACAGGGGAGGACAGCATTTGGAATCTTCCCAAATCTACTCTGAGTCTCTTCCTTTGCCTGATTTTCTTCTAAAGCCTTTCCCTCTAATATATTGTAACTGTGAGTATAATAGCTTTTAGAGAGTTATGTGAGTCTTTATTGTGAATTATTGAAATGGAGAGTGGTTTTGAAAAGCTCCCAAACTTGCAGTTAGTGTCAGAGTGAGAGTGGTCTTATGGAGGAGTGCCCTCAACCTTCACAGCTTGGATAACTCTAGAAGCAAAATTATTCTTGCAAGGCAATGGTCAGGGCAGATAGGCATCCTTATGGTAAACTTGGCCTTTTAAAATATGTGTGTTTTAACTCTGGGGCAGTTGTTTAAGTTCTTGGGTTTCAATTTCAGTATCTGTAATTTTAAAATTGCACTAGAGTACCACATAAGGTTATTTTAAAGAATATATATTAAGAAATGATTGATTGTCCTAATTATAGAATATCTAGGTACCATATGATAAGAAATATAATAATACTATTTATTTCAAATGTGTGACCCTTTCTAAGAACTGGTACTTAAAATTTAATGATCATAATAACTTTTATATAGCTTTGTAATTTAGATAGACTTTCTTTAGTGAGAGTAAAATTTCCAGTTAGCTATGAATTTAAACCATTTAATCCATTTATAGAATCATAGGCCATTGAACTGTCATCCATCTTCCTCCCCTCTGACAATGGTTATATGTAAAATATATTCAAAAGAGAATGAATACCATTTTTATATATTTCCAAATAAATAAAATTTTAAAACTTAGCTGATAAAATTCATTCTCTAAGTAAACATCATTTAACATCCCTGTGCCTATTACCTAATTAGTTAAAAAGTAAGAGTAATAATCATACCTATATCATATGGTTTCATCAGAATGTTTAGTTTCAATTATTTTTTAAAGTTTCATAGGTAATTCAGTAGGCAGCATGGCTTTGGAGAATGCTCTACATACCAACAGATGTCCAAAGACTCAGAAAATCCCAAGGTCATTTGAGCAAATTCATACAAATTTCAACATTTATTCCTCTTGCCTTCTAGTCAATTGAGGTTACATTTTGGTCTGGGGCCAGATCTGAATATAGGAAAGCAGTTCTCTGGAACTCGCTGTATGAAATGGGATTCTAACGGAGTAAGTGGAAGCCAATCAATAGCATTATATGATGTTTAAAAAAAGATTATGCCACTGGAAGGAACTCTTAATAAAAATGAGTCAGAGAATAAGAATTTTTCAATGTTTATTATTCTCCAAGTGAAAAAGGGGTCTTGGAATCATTGGTATAAATGGGAGATAGATGTGGTTGTAGGGAGAGGGGTTTTATATAGCTTAGAACCATTACTCAATTTTTAAAAAAATCTATTTAGTTATATTATAATCTATTAGGGTTTCTTTGTTATCACTTATTTAACTTAACAGAGATTTTAACATTAGTCAAGGTATGCCAGAGATACAAGACTATTCTGAACACTAAAAATATATGTTTATATAAATAATGCACTAGCATCTGGTTTTATACGTTGAACTCTTAAAAGGTAATGCTTATAATAACAGAATCAATTATATGGAATAAACCTAAGGACTATACCCAGAGCCATATTGATACCAAGATGCTGTGTCACTTGTGAAGCCCAGTGTGGTAAACCAGCCCTACCTTCCAAATTATCTCTATATAACTCTCAATAAAGGCAAACTGGTTGAAATCTAATTCTATAGTATATAGTGTTTCAATGTGTTTCCAAGTGTATATAATATCTCAATGAGGCATACTTTATTCTTATTTTTCAAATAAAAAAAGCTGATACCTACAGAAATTAAAGGACTTGCCACCACGACAAAACAAGTGGCCAATTTGGGTCTATAATAGATTACTTCTTGAACAGTGCTGTTGCCCCAGGGGTATGTCAAGGTTATTCATTACAGACATACATTGACATGGATGCTTGCTTGTTTCAATATACTTCCACTTGCAGATATGTGAGTAGCCTACAAATGTTGTCAGGATCCCATACTTCTCAGTGGCTTAATCATCAAGCCTCTGTGAAACAATAAATTAGTAGCCTAAGAAAATAGACCATTTCTGGAAAAGTAATTAAAATTCTTACCTATTTGAAGTCCAATATAGTTGGGGGTATTAGTCCCTAAGTTTGTGCTGATTTGCTTGGCTGAATATAAAGAGGAAAAAACAAAACAAAAAAAACCCCACAAAAACAGCTACGCCCATTATAAAACCAAACCAAAAAATCATATACATAAACAAAACAAAAATAAAAGTACATTACTGGGGAGGAAAAAATCAAAAGAGTTTGAAAATAAAGCTGTCAGGAACTCCTAGGAAAATTTTAGTCCAGCAATCTCTCATAAGTAGGAGAAAAATATTGTGCCAATTAAGCTTTTTCATCCTTTTAAATATTTGGTGTTTGAAATATAATAAATACTTAGAAATAATAGCAATGCAAAGGTTAGACATGTTAACTAAAAAAAACAACAACAAAAAAACAACAACACCCCAATTTATTCATAAACAGGAATACAATTAGAACTTTTGTTGAGGTATACAAAGTCAGTTGGGTACCCAGAATATTTTATTTCCTCAATAAACCTCCAAAATTATTCTTGTTCTGCAGATTATATAATTAATTGTTCCATACTTGTAACTCTCCTTTTCATAACTGTTCACTTTGGTCATATAATGTATTAATTATATTGAAAATATAGGAGAGTCCTACTGTTATCAGAAAAGCCTTTTCCTTTTTAATATCGCATGCTGACATCCGGCATTTGTTTCATTTTCTACCTACTCTTCTTCAAAGACTTTACAACCAAACCAAATGTGTAAAACTAAATAACTGTAACATCCACCAATGTCAAATCTATTTGGATTGACTGTATTACATGAGTTAAGCACTTCAGATTCAATGGCTTAGGTTTACCTAACAACTGCCAGTTTATAAATTAAGAAAATAATACAAAACAATAACTCAATTTTTACCACACACTTTAATTAAAGAAGCAGAAGAGACGGACATATAATGAATGCCAAGAATTTAGTGAATGGCTTTATCTCTCTAGTAATCAAAATGTCACCAAGAGATGTTTGCTAAAGTAAAAAAAGTTCAACATGTTCCATATTCATCTTAATATCTATATGATAATTATAGTTCCACTAGTGACCTGGTGTGCGAAATTGCAGAGCCCCGCCCATCTGTGCATGACCCGCCCACCTGCCCGCTGCCCCGCCTTGACACCCTAACCTCTCCACCCAGAGCTCCAGTGCACCTGGCCCTGCCTCAACCCCTCTGGGATTCTCTGGCCACTTCAAGCCCTGCCCTTAGTTCCATGAGTTGCCTGGGGCTGGTCCCACTTCCTCCAGGTGCTTCCCCACTGCTTCTGCCCGGTCTCCAAGCAACATAGCGGCTCCACCCCGTCAACACGCAGGAGGAGAGCCTGGAAGCCTCTTGCCTGCTGCAGAGTTTCGAGTGCCGCTTCCTGATGGTGTGCAGGCTGCGCTCCTTCCCCTAGCAGGTGGTCAGCGGGTGCACTGAGTGTGAGCAGTGGGTGGTGAAGGACTGGTGAGGGGGGCACTAAGGGCTCTCACCCCCACCCTCCCTGCCACGGGATGGTCCCGCCTCCTCCAGGTGCCTCCCCGCTTCCACCCCGTCTCCAGAGCAACGCGGTGGCTCCACACTGCTATGCCCACAGCCTCCTGCTGAACAGTCGTTACGGCGTGAGAGCATCACAACCATTAGCATATTAGCTCTTTATTATATAGGATATTTTTAGAAGTGAAGGCTCAAAAGTGGAATTGCATGATTTTTACAATAGATATTGACACTTTTTTGGAACACAAGAGATAGTAGACTTGGCATTTTTGGCTGCCAAGGATATGTATATTCCTCATTACTTTGATAACTTATTTAACTGGTGAGGTCCCTTTCTTCAGGAACATATGCCTCCTCAATTAGCCCAGGGTAAAACATGTGATATGGGCCTAAACTAATTAACACATGGCATTCCTCTAGTCATAGTGACTGTCAGGAATGCAAACATGAACCACTGCAAAGAGGACTTGGACCTGAGAAGCCTTGATCTTTGTGCAGCTGGGGTCCAAGAACAGAGCCAACACAGTAGAAAAATTCAGAGATAAACTGGCCCTTGGTGACAACTTTTGAATCCAAACACACCTCTGGATTTCTGACAGCTTGTCAAAAAATTATCTTTCAAGCTTAAAACAGTTTGAGCTGACTTTTCTTACAAGCCAGCTATTTCTTATAGCAAAAGTTATCAGTAAAACCACATGTACATCTTGATTCTTCAGCTCCACAAACCATCCCATGCCTTTATTTGTGTCAATATCTATTATAATTTTTAAATTTTCAATGACACATCTTAAGGATTCAGTGATTTTGTATTTGTTAATTTATTCAGATAATATAAGACTGCTTATTACCAACATTAAAATATATTTTACTGAGCCTGAAAACTACTTAATTGGGTTAACATGTACTGTTGATATTACACAAATTGATTAAAAAATTGATTTGGGGAAAAAAGATAGACAAATTTTAGAATTATAGAGTATCCTCCCACAATTCCAGCTTATAGCACATTCAACATAGAGTATGCCAAATAGTTTGTTGCTTTTTAAAAAATTTCAATAACACAGTATATCTTTTCCTCACATAGATCTGTATAGCAATTTTTTACCAAATAATCTTGTTTTGTCCCATAAAATTAATATAATGATTTTTATTGATTATATATATATTCTGGAAACTTTCACATATATATACTTAACCTTCCCTAAAACCTTCCCTAAAGACAATTTGAGATACTATAAATCCTATTATCATTCCAAGATCTCTAATTATGAGAATCAAAACTAAAAACTTGGAGAGACAGGTCCCCTCAAGAACAGCTAACTTCATGTTGATATCCCTGTACTGATATTGACACCAACAGCCATCAAGATACCTGGGGTTGCAAGTTGGATGCATCACACTGGAGTCAAACTTTGTGTGCTAGAAGATCCAATACCCGTTCAACATACAGATAACTCCTGGGAGGCAAATGGAGACTTCAAACTTCTCTTCAAACTGACTGCCCAAATTAAGTTGTAAGCTCTATTTATACTCCAGGAATACCATCCCCTGCCAATACTGACCCCTGCTGACTCTAGACACCATGCAACTTCCTTGTGTGCCAGGCCTCATACTCCCACTGAGAAAAAACTCCACCCCTCTCCAGCAGGAAGTAGCAACAGAAGAGACTCTACACCCCTTTTTCCTTAAAGAATTCAGAACAAGAATCCTTGATGGGGAGAAATGTAGTGAAGAATAGGCCAGGTGCAGAGGATTGCTAGGGTCCGAGCATGACCACTGCCTTAAGTATTAACCCCTGGAAGACAAAGACTAAGCTTCAGTTGTGTTTTAGGTCCTGGCCCAGAGAAGCAGCAAAATCAGAGGGAGCGATGACACGGCTGATATTAGGACCAGCTGCATTGATCAATGCTACTCTGGCACCACCCAATCAGTGGAGACCAGAGGGGGCATACCTCCTAGGTAAATGCTCTATTGGAGAGTATTATGCTAAGTGAAATAAGCCAGTTAGAGAAAGACAAGTACTGTATAATTTCAGTCACATGTGAATGTAATGAACAAAGTAAACTAACAAAATAGAAACAGACTCATACTTAGAGAACAGACTGACACTGTGGGAAGGGAGGGGTTTGTGGGCTGAGTAAAAAAGGTGAAGGGATTAAACAAACAAACAAATAAAACTCATAGAAACAGACCACAGCATGGTGATACCAGAGTGGAAGGAGTGTGGGGGAGGTAGAAGAGGGTATAGAAGGGATCATTATGATGGAAGGAGACTGGATTTGGCATGGTGAACACACAATACAATATATAGTTGATGTATTATGGAATTACAATACAACTGAAACCTATATAATTTTTATTGACCAATGTCACTCCAATAAATTTTTTTAAAAAGAGAACAAAAAACTAAGCAGGTAATAACAAACAACAAAACACTTCAAAACCAGTTAATCAAACTCTGAATTGAGAATTTGTTTTCCACCACATGGCATTATTCTGCCATATATTTAAGTCTTAGCTATAACCATATGTAAGATACTGTCAAGATTTTTCAGCTGTTTTCATTGCCTCTGACTTAGCTGGTTTGTTGATTTATTTCTCACCTATAGATTAGCTCCTCTAAATATCAGAAAGTATGAATATCAATCATTTCTCTTTGTTCTATTTTTAAAATTTCCACAAAAGGATTCCAATTGGCCTATTCCTGATTAGTTGCTGTCTTCTCTTACCACTGGTAGAGGTAGAATTGGATGTGGTTGACAGAGGAAGCACCTTTCTAAAAGAAAGGGGGTCATGGAAACTTTAGGAAAAATATTAGGGTACTAGATAGACAAATACAACAGTCACTATAATCTCAATTTATTATACCATAAAAGATTGTGTGGAAGCACTGAGACTCAAGAAGTAAAGTCCAAGCATTTGGCATCATTTTCATTTTTTACTTTAGCAAATACAGTAGTTAAGAAACTGAGTTCTGTAATTAAAAGCAGTCCTTCTTCTTAGTACACATTTGAGCACAGTTTTATTAAAACTGTGATGTTACACCAAGTACTTAACTTATATGTAACTCATGTTGTACTTGTAAAATAAAGATATTATTAGTTTATACCTAATAGGCTTATTGTAAAGATTAATTTAAATAATCTGTTTAGAGCATTTAACATAGTGCATAACACATAGTGAGCTATATCCTTCATTCACTAAGTAACTTCACAGAGATCAAGTGTTTCATTCACAAAGATCAATTTACACCACTTTATTTTACTCAAGGCAGTTAAGAAACATGTCATGAAGTTTAAAACCTGTTCTTTATTCTTTTTTCCCTCTTTGTGGAAAACATTGATGCCCTAGGTTCTATGAAAAACATTATGATGTTTGAAGTTTAAAAGCAAGGAGACAATATTAAAATAAATCTTATTTCCACTTTTGGCCTTTGTCCCAATATTTAATTTCACCTTCTTTGGGATGAAAACAGGATCTCACGCTTCATTTGGTCTCTTAACAGAGAGCATGGCATTCATTTAGAAGCCTGGGTGAGTCCTGCTCATCCTCTTTCTGATCCACAGGCCTCGTCTGAAAGTTATTCTAGTCTTTAATCTCCCTCTTTTATCAGTGTTTCTCTTCCAAGAAGCATTTGGCTGTACATGGAAATTCTGGGCTTTGATCACATTATTTATCTTACTATGTAGGCCTTTGTGTTTACACACAGGGTATCCCAAAACATGTCTACACACTTTGTACAGCTGATAGCTCAATCGACGTTTTATTCTTTCCAGCCAGACTAAGTTTTGAACAAAGGAAACTCCTAAAATGCTATTGGAAGTTTGAAAAGACAGCTGAAGTACAAACACTGACTTTATAATCAAGCAAAGTATGTACATACACCCTATATAAAAAATAAAAGGTTTTCACTTATTTGCTATTCTCATCATAGGTATCTCTGCAACACAGAAAGGTACACACATGATACTTTTCTTCTTCATCGTCTTTTTTTCTCAGTTCTCACTTAACCTTGAATAATGCCAAACTAAATTCCAGATCTTCAAACAAACATCTTCAGATCACTATCCTTACCCTTATATAATTTCACCATTCTTGGAGATTCTTTATGAAGATTGGTGGATTGGGTATGTTGCAGGTTTTATCAAAATTTTATAAAGTGAGTTGAGTACTTTTCAAAACTAAAATATAGGCTAACTAGTTATATTCGTGAGTATTTCTTTTCTGAGATGTAATCTATTTACTTATTTTTTCAGGCTTGTGAAAAGAATTGATAATTCTGCTATAAAAATCAAATTAAAATAGCTTTATGTACAAGTTTATATTGTAGATGATAAATATATGCATGCACATATACACCAGAGTTTAAGTGCTAAATTAGATTAAAATAGATTATACTGTTTAAAAATGTCAATATCCTTGATAAAAGTAGAAGCAAATATCATTAACAAAATGTTAGCAAACCAACAGTACATTAAAAGGTTCCTACAGCTCAGTGGTTGAGTATTGACCTATGAACCAGGAGGTTCGATTCCTGGTCAGGGCACATGCCAGGATTGTGGGATCAGTCCCCAGTGGGGAGCATGCAGGAGGCAGTTGATCATGATTCTCTCTCATCATTAATGTTTCTATCTCCCTCTCCCTCTCCCTTCCTTTCTGAAATCAATAAAAATATGTAGCATAAAAATCTTATAATAATCCATAGGCAGCAAAATATCAGGCATATGTCATAGCAATATCTTTATTGATATAGCCCCTAGGATAATGGAAACTAAGGAGAAAATAAACAAATGGGACTATATCAAAACAAGAAGCTTCTGCACAGAAAAAGAAACCATCAACAAAACAATAAGGAAGCCCACTGCATGGGAGAACATATTTTCCAATGTGATCTCTGATAAGGGTTTAATCTCCAACATTTATAGGGAACTCATACATCTTAACAAAGGAAGATAAACAATACAATAAATAAAATTAAGTAAAATAAAAAATAAACAGCAAAAGGACCTAAATAGACCCTTTTTGAAAGTGGACATACAGAAGGCCAAGAGACATATGGAAACATGCTCAAAGTCACTAATCATCTGAGAGATGCAAATCAAAACAACAATGAGGTACAATTTCATCCCTGTCAGAATGGCTATCATCAACAAATGGCAAGTTCTGGCAAGGAGAAAAAGGAACCCTCATGCACTGCTGGTGGGAATGCAGGCTGGTGCAGCCACTTTGGAGAACAATACGGAGTTTCCTCAAAAAATTAAAAATGGAACTGCCATTTGACTCAATAATCCTACTTCTAAGAATATATCCCAAGAAATCAAAAACCAATCAGAAAGGACATATGCACCCCTATGTTCCTAGCAGCACAATTTACAATAGCTAGTATTTGGAAACAGCCTAAGTTCCCATCAGCAGATGAGTGGATTAAAAAACTGTGGTACTCTTACCATTTGCAACAGCATGGATGGACCTGGTGAGCATTATGCTAAGCAAAATAAGCCAGTTGGAGAAAGATAACTATCACATGATCTCACTCATTTGTGGAATATAATGAACAAAAAATAGATCCAGAGACACAGCAGCATCAGACAGACTGTCAAACCTCAGAGGGAAGGCAGGGGAGGGGTATAAGAGATCAACCAAAGGACTTGTATGCATGCATAATAGCAAAGCCAATGGACACAGACAGTAGGGGAATGAGGGCATGTGCTAGGGGGTGGGAGTGGCTGGGGAGAGGTCAATAGGGGAAAAGGAGACATATGTCATATTTTAAACAATAAAGAGTTTAAATTAAAAATATATAGATATACATATTTTAAAAAAAGGATCATACACCATGATCAAGTAGGAGTTTTTCAGGGGATGCAAGGATGATTCAACATATACCAATCATTCCATAGGCTACATCATGTACCAAAATGAAGTATAAAAATCACAAGATTGTATCAATAGATTCAGGAAAGCATTTGACAAAATTCAGCGTCCGTTCATGATAAAAACCCCTCAACAAGTGTGTATAGAGGGAACTACGTCAACATAATAAAGGCTATATATGACTAGCCCAGAACTAACATCATACTCAATTGTAAAACTTAAAGCTTTTTGTATAAGATCAGGAACAAGGCAAGGATGCCCATTCTGGCCACTCTTATGCAACATAATATTAGAAGTCCTAGAAGAATATAGGCAAGAAAAACACAAACAAACAAAAACACCTACAGATTAAATGCAATTCTTATCAAAATTCCAATGTCATTTTTCATTGAAAGAACAAACATTCTAAATTTGTATGGAAAACAAAAGACCCCAAATTGCCAAAACAATACTGAGAAAGAACAAAGAGAGAAGCATCATGCTTCCTGGTTTGAGCTGTATTACAAAGCTATAGTAATCCAAACAGAATGGCACTGACATAAGAAGAGACAAAGATTAATGGAATAGAATGGAGAGCCCATAAATAAACCCAAATACGATCACTTAATTTAAGACAAAGTAGCTAAGAAAATAAAACGGGAAAAGGACAGTCTTTTCAATAAATGATGTTGAGAAAACTGGACAGTTACATTTAAAAGAATGAAACTAGATGACTACTTTACACCATTCACAAAAATTAACTCAAAATGGATTAAAAACTTGAATGTAAGACCTGAAACCATAAAACTCCTGGAAGAAAACAGGTGGTAAACTCTTTGACATTGGTCTTGGCAATGACTTTTTGATCTGATTGCAAAAGCACAACAAAAGCAAAATAAAAGTGGAAGTGCATCAAACTAAGAAGTTTCTCCATGGCAAAGGAAATAATTAACAAAATGAAAAAGCAACATACTGAATGGAAAACATTTGCAACTCATAAATCTGATAAGGGATTAATAATCAAAATATGTAAGGAACTCATACTACTCAATAGTAAAATAACAAACAAGATGACTAAAAGTGGGCGTAGGATTTGAATAGACAGTTATCCAAAGAAGACATACAAATGATCTACAGTTGTTCATTATGACAATCATCAGAAAAATGAAAATCAAACCCACAATGAGCTATCACCTCATACCTGTTAGAATGGCTATCAAACAAGACAAGAAATAAGTGTT